CGAAATTTCACATCCGAAAACAGAATTAGAATTACCGAACACCAAACGGCGAAGAGCAAGCAAGTGTAGTGTAGAAGAAGAAAGAGTTGGAATTTGGAAATCAAAATTGAGTTGCTAACGAAGGAAATGACACTTACAGTTACAGATGGAAAAGGGTTGAAGAACAACAAATTGCTGTTTGCGGCAATTGCAAAGCCCAGTTGGTTCCTCATTTGGAAAGGGGGAAAGAAACCATTTTATAGACACGATGGGAGGCCCGCAAAAAGCCCCTGGAATTGCATGTTAATTACAATGTTAACCAAGGGCAGATTAGTCAATATTCAATCACAGAAGACATGGGAAATGGGAATTACAAAGCATTTTCTGGTAAATTAATTGGAAACTTGGGTTTGGGCTACAAATGAAAAAGAAAAGAGGAGAAAAAAATTGACTTTCCAAAACTCCAAAACAGGTGGCTGAGGCCCCATGCGAAACGATGGGTCTCGCATTACCAACCAACGGAAATGAAAAATGCTTTTTTTTTTTCCTTTTTCCAAGAAAAAACTCAAGAGAAGGAGTTATATGTCTTAGAGTCCTAATCATTCCTTATCAGAGGAGGAGTTCGCTCCGTCACGTAAGATCCTCGAACTTACTACGACCACTTTTCGTAGCCTATACTTGTGTGTAAGCCAAATAAAAGGTGATTGTTTTAGGCGGGGTGGACCAGACACCTTCGAATGATGTGAACGGATTCGTTTCTGGGATAGCTTACTTCTCTTCTAGGTTGATGACGACTTATGTTGTGGCTGGCCTATCATGATGTTTCATTGGTCGAAAAGTCCATTTACGACTTCTATTGGCTACCATAAGATAAAGTTTTGTTTTGTTTTCAAATTCACTTAACTAGATTCAATGAATATTTTACATGGTTTTTAAAACAATTTTGAATTTTGTGATTACTCTGAAAACATAATTTTCATGCTTTCAATGATGTAAAATTATTTTATTTTTGTTAAAATTAGAATAGGTAAGGCATAATAATATATATGTATTTTAAATAGGGTTAAATAATAATAATAATCCTCAAATCCTTAGCATCTAGCGTCATTCCCCTCAAAACCTGTTCGTATGTCAAGGTTTAATTACAATAATTTCTTGAATTAAAGAATGGTCGATCGAGAATTCAAATGAAAAAAATACTAATATATCCTTACTTTCCGATTCCCTAATCACATGAGATGTATACTTGAACTTGATTTGATGTTAATTTGTATAGCATACCCAATCTTTAATCTTTATATTCCGATTCTTGAACTTGACTCAAGGATTTTGACGTTTGTGTTTTGAGCTTGAATCGAAATCTTGTGCACTTCGAAATTTTTCAAATCTTCAAAGTCTTCTAATATTTAGATAGTTGTGGTCATGAGAAATGTTCTCCTCAGTTTATGTGAGTTTAGGTTCGAGTGATTTTTGACTCAACCATTGAACTTAGATTTCATTTGAGTCATAAACTCAATTATGTAAAGGGTTTGAGTTTAAACAATTTTGAATATAACCCATGGACTTGAGCCTCATTTGAGACATAGATTCACTCAACTGAGTAAATTCAGACTTATTCTAATTCAGTTGTCAATTATTAATCCATGACTCTTAGGCTAATTGTTTAGGGACAACTTATAATTTAATGAGTTTGAGTTTATTTAATTTGAGTTGTATCTTATGGTTTAGACTATCCGGTAGAATCAAACGGCCATAAAAAGACACATTATTACTTAAATTTATTACTCAACACCATCCAACCATCATGAGATGACTCAAGTGGTCAATGAAGATCAATGTAAATAGCAAACGACTTAGAGGGAATGAGTTAAAAAAAAATTTTTAGTAACAATATGAGTAGCTAATTATAAGATTAAAAATGAAAATAATAATTTATAGTTGGCTTTTGCAATTTTGTTGCCAACATATCTCAATAAAGTATGTGAATTTGAATTCCTACCTAGATATTGTATTAAAAGAATTTTGGTTTTTTTACAAATTTGCAAAAATGAATTTATACTTTTATCATCCCAATTCATAGATTGTGATTGTGATTGTGGTGCACCGACTTCAGATTCCGCTAGACCCATCGCTTTTCTCCTTCTAATTTTCCTTTGGCACGGGGGAAAAAAGCTTCTTCTTCTTCTTCTTCAATCTTCAATCCTATTTCAAAATCTTCTTCCTCTTTTCGGCATTTGGCATTTCGGAATCACAATCCTATTTTGCAGCTGCTTGATTCGGGAACCCTCGATTGCTCCACCACCAGTTATGGGGAGCCGTTCGTCGGAGACCAGGTTCGTTCAGGAATTGCTTCTCTACGCAGCCAGCGCCGCCCTGAGCTGCCTCGTTTTGTTCGCTGGCCTACGCCACCTCGACCCCAACCGCGAGGCTTCTAAGAAGGCTCTCGAGCACAAGAAGGAGATTGCCAAACGCTTGGGCCGCCCTCTCATCCAGACCAACCCTTACGAGGTACAATTTTGTTTACGTCCATTTTTAATCTGGTTCTGTATTCCTTTTTTGTTTCTCTTACTTGGGGTTTCAATTAGGGACTTCAATTGAACTGGGTAGGTTTTGGCTTTAAGATTCTTCATAAATCAATACGTTCTTGTTTAACTTGCGACTTACATTTTATAACCAGGACGTGATTGCTTGTGATGTTATAAACCCTGATCACATCGATGTCGAATTTAACTCTATTGGAGGCCTTGAAAGTATCAAGCAAGCTTTAATTGAATTGGTGATACTTCCACTTAGGAGGCCAGATTTGTTTTCGCATGGGAAGCTTCTTGGTCCGCAGAAAGGGGTCTTGTTATATGGACCACCTGGTACTGGGAAAACAATGCTCGCGAAAGCTATTGCAAAGGAGTCTGGAGCTGTTTTCATTAATGTTAGAATTTCAAATCTGATGAGCAAATGGTTTGGTGATGCACAAAAGCTAGGTTAGTCTAGGGATTTGTGGATGGATGTGAAGGATTTCTTTTTCCCTTAGTGGATTCTTTATGAACTATTTATGCCTGATTGGTCGTTTGCCTAACATGACTTTTCAGTGGCTGCTGTGTTTAGCTTGGCTTATAAGCTCCAGCCTGCTATTATATTCATTGATGAGGTCGATAGTTTTTTGGGTCAGCGACGAACAACAGATCATGAAGCAATGACGAACATGAAGACCGAGTTCATGGCCCTATGGGATGGATTTACGACAGATCGTGAGTCATACTTTAACCTATTTTGTTCTTTTCTTTGTAAACAGAAGGATTTAGTAGGTAGTAAAGTATATGCTATTGTGGGATTTAATTACTTAAAATAGATAGCCCTATGGTTCTGATGTGTCATGTGTATTCTTATAGAGACTGCTCGTGTTATGGTTCTTGCTGCTACTAATCGCCCATCCGAACTGGATGAAGCTATTCTTCGGCGTCTTCCACAGGCCTTTGAGATTGGAATACCTGACCGGAGGGAGAGAGCAGAGATATTAAAGGTCATTTTGAAGGGTGAGCGGGTTGAACAAAATATAGACTATGACCATGTGGCAAGCTTGTGTGAGGGGTACACAGGTTCAGATATTCTCGAACTATGCAAAAAAGCTGCTTATTTTCCTATCAGGGATCTTCTTGATGAAGAGAAGAAGGGGAAACAATCTTCCGTAAGTACATTTATCACTTTTTCTCTTCCCCTCCCATCTGTTTAGTTACTTATTGCTTCCTTTTGGGTATGCTGGAGTTTTATATTTGAGTTGATAACCAATTATTTACATTCATCACTTGGGCTTCTGCTAAGATGGGATATATATGCTACTGGCTCCCCTGGCCGTGAAGATAAGTTTGGATACTGATCATTTATGTTTTTTAATCTTTCAAGGGCTTATGACTTGAGACCCTAATATTATGTTATAACTTGTGCATCTACCGGCCCCAAGGGGTAGCCTAGTCGAGAAGAGCTTGGAATCTCTTGGTCATACTAGCTTGGGGCCTAGTTGGCAAGGGTTTGGAGTCTCTTGATTATACTAGCTTAGAGGTTTCAAGTTCGAACGTCTTGGTAAGCTTAATACCAAAAATCCTTAATATCTTCCGGGTTCGGGCCTTAGGACAGGTGCAGGTGCCCCTAGGTATAGGGGAGCAAAGCTCCGAATAGTTATAAAAAAAAAAGAAAAAACTTGTTCATCTACTGGCCATCGTTGTCCAGTTGTGAAAACAAATAGCAAATTTGACAATAGCAAAAGGAAAGGGAACCCTGAGAGTATTCCTTTGGGGGATTGGCAACATGATAGGGTACTAAATAATTTGATTTCTGAAAATGAAGCATCTTAATTCTCTCTTTCATTTATTTTATTTTTTTTCATTTTCATACGTTATGAGGATGTATATATTGTGTTGGTGTTGGTGACAAAGTTTCAGTCTTCAATTGCCATTGAGTACGCAATCCTTGGGTAAATATGATAGGGCCTTGATTGTTTCGGTTTTCAGGTACCAAGGCCACTGTCGCAGTCGGATTTGGGAAAGGTTCTTGCCACATCCACAAAGACAAAGGTTGCTGCGAGTGAGTACACTGGACTCAGCTCTAATTCATCAGGGTGGGCAGGGCAGCGGGAACCTGGCGATTATGAGGTTCAAGCAGCTATAAGTGAACTCTCGAAGCTTGTGGTCTCCCAAATCTTGAATATTCAATCCGATACCCGGGAATAGTGAAAACCCCAAAATTATCGAGGATTCTCGCAACTCATTTAGTGTTTAACTAGCACATAGATTACTAGAGATGCATCCTTGATTCGAAGGGTCCATCTCGTATCTAAAATTTTGAAGTTCTGAATGGTTTCTGGTAGTTGCATATTCCAGCTTTCCTTGCTGCCTCAAACATGAAATGGTGGTCATATTTATGTATTGTGATGAAGGATTAACCCTGTTGATAATCTTTTTGTATGGATCATGGTCATCCTCGGACAATCTTTCTGTTGTATTTCACTGTCTAAACTTTTTTACGCTGTACCAAAAATCAGCGATATGGAAATTCTAAAGCCTCTCTCTCTTCAACGTAGCGGGAATTGAAGCTCGGTTGATTTGAATAGGTGAGTTAAAAGCTGTAGATGATTTAAAATGAAATGTTAATTACATAAGCTTTGTTATTCCCTTTTGCATTTGCTATTAGGTTCTGAATTTATAGCGTCTAATAGGTTTAGAACAATCAATTTTGTATTATCCTTGATTTATTATACACTTCTTAAAGTTGGAAGTTTTTGGTTATGTGGCTTCTTGCTTGCATGATTCTTGGCTTGTCTTTGATTATGGTTTTTTTCCCTAGTCCCCTTTGTCAGGTCTAAGGAATGAAAATTGAAGTATTGTAAAGTTCACAAGATTTGAATAAAATTCTCAACCACTCGTAACTTTTTATCATAAAACAAAAGAAATTAGGTCCATTGAGATGAATTTCGACATCTTTGATTCTTCCGGTTCCATATAAGAATTTTACTTCTAATTATTATGTTAATTCACAAATAATGTCTTTGTTTAGTTTCCATTTCTAATTAAAAAAAATTATCAAAATCTAACCAATTTTCGGGAAAAAACAAGAGGTTTGACTTTGGTTAAAATTTTCAAAATAGACTGCGGTTATAGAAGCATGAATTTTAAATTAAAAAACTAAAAAACATATTTTTATCRTACAAACTTGTAATCAATTAATTCGTTTTCAATTGTAGGTGTAATATTATAGAATGGAGTGGAGACTTGTGGGTGAACAGTGTTTATTCTGGTCAAACTTTTTACACAACAAATATATAAAGGCATGCCATTTTTCAACCCCTTATCCCTTACAAATTCTTGAAATCAATTATTTTTCATTTCAAAAATTAGTTGGAAAAAYACATAAGCTTTTTGCAGAGATTGAGAGAAAAAAGGTCAACGTTTGCTCCATTTTTCTAATCTAGCAAACAAAAAAGGAAAGCAAATTCACAGGTTTAGATTTAGCCGCCAAAACCAAAAGTGAGGAACATTTACATCAGAATGGGAAGTGCAGACCATTTAGATAAGATCACAGACTCTCACAAACAACCAACAAACAAAAACTAATATTTGTTAATAACGTGTAAAGGAGCAGCACTAGCAAATGGGAGGAGTGGAGAATGGCTTACAATTACAAAGTCATTTGGCCGAACCAAACCCCCCTCTGAATTCTGAATTCTGATGACGACTTTTTTTTCTTTTTGGTTTCTGCTGAACGATTCAAACCCATCTGTCTGCTGCTGTTCTAATCCAATCTCAATTCCTCCGTCCAAACTTGGCTCTGCAAATACAATTCAATCAAGTTGTGGTTAAAGTAAACAAGAATAATGTTGATTCTCTGAGACCCACCAAATTCTCCCCTATCAAGTATTCAATTCAACTCTCCCTCTTCATCCCCATCTTCCRTTTCATTYGACTCAATTARACCTTCAATTGCCCAATCCCCTCAACCAATTGGTTGGACTTTGGAGTTCATCCAGATAGTTCATGCTTTGTTCCTCTTCTTATGCTCGATCATGGCGTTTTTCAGTACAGCAGTTGCTTCTTCCTTGTTCTTCGCCATTGTTTTTGTTTTGGTTCTTCGTTTAATATCCAAAACATCTCTGGTCTACATGGTGGTCAAGGGTTTTCAATCAATTACAGATTACTTTCATGTCCATCAATACTACAGGATCCCCCAATACGACGAGCATCTCCGGCATAATCAACTCTACCTCCGAGTTCATACCTATCTCCATTCCTTACCTTCGCTCGAGGACTCCAATTTCACGAACATGTTCTGCGGGGCAAAACCTAGCGATATCTTCCTCCGCCTGGACTCCAATCAAACCATCCATGATTCCTTCCTCGGGGCGAAACTCTGCTGGACAATCGAGATGCGTAGGGATCATCAACAGAACGGCCATTTTTCATTCGTTCTAAAGCTGAAGAAAGACGATAAGCGCAGGATTTTCCGGCAGTACTTCCAACACATCCTCTCGATCTCCGACGAGATCGAGCAACGGAAGAGAGAAATTAAGATGCATATCACCGTGGAGGAACGCGGCGCAAGACGGTGGACGGCGGTGCCTTTCACGCATCCGGCCACGTTCGAAACGCTGGCGATGGACGTCGATTTGAAGAACAAGGTGAAATCCGATCTCGAACAGTTCCTGAAATCGAAGCAGTACTATCACAGATTAGGTCGCGTTTGGAAGCGGAGCTTCCTGCTGTATGGTGAGGCGGGCACCGGAAAGTCGAGCTTCGTGGCGGCGATGGCCAAGTTCTTGCAGTACGACATCTACAACATCGACATGTCGAAAATCTCAACCGAGTCCGACATGACGGTGGCGCTTCTCCAGACGAGCCCGAAATCGTTGATTCTGGTGGAGGATCTAGATCGGCATCTGACGACGAGATCGACGGCGGCGAGTGTATTGAACGGAATCGCATCGTACTGCGGGGAGGAGCGGGTGGTGGTGTTGACGATGAACGAGAAGAGCGGCGGCGTCGATGAAGCGGTGCGACGGCGGGTGGACGTGCAGATTCATTTTCCACCGTGCGATTTCTCGGCGTTCAAGATTCTGGCGGTGACCCATCTGGGGGTGAAGGATCACAAGCTGTTCTCTCAGGTGGAGGAAGTTTTTCAGAGTGGGGCCAGGCTGAGCCCCGCCGAGATTGGAGAGATCATGATGGCCAATCGGAGCTCGCCATCTCGAGCGTTCAAATCCATCATATCTGCTCTGCAGATCAACGGCGGGGATAAGGATGCACTGGAGTATAATGAGATTGGATCTAGACGATTATTTTTGAGAGATGGYTTAAGCATGGGGAAGTTGTATGGGCTTTTGAAATTGGGGATTAGAAGAAATGAAGAGTGTTTGGATTCTGATTCCATGGAGAAAAAAGGATTGTGAAAAATCAAGGTTAGATTTTAGGATTATTCAATTCATAAATGTATCAAATTAAAAGTATTTGTGAAAAATAGGTACCGCAGTAATACTTGAATTTTCTCTCCTAACCAATTAATAAATTTAAAGTTAGCAACCACATATTTTTTCGTTGAAATTTTTTTAAGAAGTGGATGGTAGAATTTAAACTTTTAAAATGATAACTATTTGGAAAAAGTTAAGGTATGACATTATTTATTTCATTCTTCTAGTTTCTTATTTTTTAGGGATCTTCACGAAATTATATACTCATCTTTGGAGTAAAAGAAAATTAATTTCATGTTTTGAAGTTTTCAAAACGGTAATAAAATTACTATTTTTTTTAAAATTAACTTTGTAGAACTATAAATTAAAATTAAAGATAATTTGACAATTAAAATATGTAATTGAGTCATATAAGTGTTGGGCTTAGAATTAATTTGATTCACAAACTTGGCCCAAAATCCAATTTACATGAAATAAAGTGGATTAATATTTAAATTTAAATAAATCTATTTAAAGAATTGGGTTTGGCCCAAAATTATTCGAGCCCAATGGTCCACTAAACCCTATGGAAAGCTCTATAAATAGAGAGACCTCATTCATTTTCAGGGTGGAGAATTGGAGAATTGTGAGAATTAATGCCAAAGTTGAAGACTCCTGAAGACTTGAAGACAAGATTTGAAGACTTTCGAATAACATATAACAAGAATCAGAAGATAAAGATTAGAGATTTAATTCACTATACAATATATACAAACAATATAAAAGTTCAACTACACGAAATATAATTTCTCCGAAAATTTCGTGCGAACAAACTTATAATGACACAATATCATATTTTATGTTGCCTTTATTTTCTCCTTTGATATGTTTTTCGAAAATTCTAATTCAAAACCGAGAACGTTTTCCCAAAAAATGATTACTACTACTTGATCTACATTCAAATAATTTTTCTTTTTCTTGCAAGTAGGATTGGAAATTTTTTTTTTGTTTTTTTTTGTTTTTTGTACTATGGGAGTATCTACTCCCTTGATACTTCCTTTATTCACACTACAAATTTTCATTTATAAATAATTTTTTAATATCAGTGGATCCGTGTAACGCGACACACTTTAAATGGCGGTCCTATAAGGAAATTTTGGAAAATGGCATGGCTTCAATTGATTGGATAGTAACTTTGAAGGATGAAGTTTGGTGTGAGTGAAAATTTATTCATTACAATAAATGTAAGAAATTGAGAATAAATGAAGTAGTGGGAAGAGCAAAAGCTATAATTTTAATATTCATGCAAAGTACAAAAATGTCCATTTGTCATTAAATTTACTTCCAGCTCCAACCATTCTTGGGCAAAGGCGAAGTATTATCAAAAAAATAAAAAAAATCTAAGGGAAAGTTAAATATTTTCTAAGGGTGGAACAAAAACTTTTACACCATATAGTATTTCATATCTAAAGACAAACTTGAGAATAACTCCAAAATATTTGATACTTTGTATATACTTTTTGAGTGCGCAATTGCTCCGCTCCATCCTTCTTTCTCCCGTCTTTGAACATGAACATAACTTGGTGATTAAGACATCTACTCCTTCGATTAATGTTCAAATTCCCACTCTACATTTATTGTACTAAAATTATTATAAAAAAAGATCGGGTTTTATCTACGATAATGAGATGATCGAGTACAGTTTAATTAATGGACAAGATGTCAACTTTCTTTCTTGAAATTAAAAGTTCGATCCCCCATTTCACAATTCCTAAATTTTATTGAGAGAAGACGTTCGGATGATGTGGTCGAAGAAAGTAAGGTGGTGCTTTGATAACCAAAGATTTTTTTTTCTCGTAATAAATGAGAATATTGAGGGTAAAATTAAAACGTCATAGGCAAAATTGTTGAAAATAAAAAGTACAAAATAGAAATAAAATAGAGTATAGAATTAATGATAGGTTTAAGCTTATTAATGAGTTTTTGAATAAATTTGGAGAGTGTAGAAGAAGCCTAGTGTGCAAATAATGAAGTGGAAAGGGAAAGTTTGGACTGTTGTTTCATTCTCATGTGCAATCACTACTCTCCAACCGACCTAACTCATCCCATAAATGAAATAACATGGGATGCTAAAATTTACCCAATGCATTTTAAAGTCTTCCTAATTTTTAATTTTATATTTTTTTAAAACAAATTTAACATCCATTACACTCTTCTATTAATTTGCTTATTTATCTTTCGATTTTTACTTTAAAAATACCTTTGGTACCTGTATCAATTTTCAAAAAGGCGGGAAACATGTATAATGTTACGTTTGAGAATGATGATAGAATGAGTGATTTTGACAAAAATATTTAAATATAATTGATTTTGCAAAATCATCATTCAAGTCATACTTTAAAAATTAATTTTAAGTTATTTTAAACTTTCTTAAAATCAATGGAAAGACAAGTGATTTTGACAGGCTGTAATTTTTGTCTCATGATCAGATAAAAATAGTAGAATAATATAAACATATAGGTTAAAATACTATTTTGATCTATATACTTTTTGCTTTTGTTCATTATGGTCTATGGTCTAGTACTTTAAAAAATGTCTATTTTGATTATTGTATTTTCAACTTTGATTAATTTTAATCCATATACTTTCGAAACTGTCTATTTTGGTTTATGTATTTTTAACAAAGTGACAATTATGTTCCTCCATTTTATTTTTATCTCATTTCGTTTGATTATATTTTTAGCATGACAATTCACTAACTAAATTTTCTTAAAATGTATCTATATTTTTGAATTAAATAGTTTTATTATGTATCAATTTTTTGTTGAAATTAGAAATTAAAATGACCATTTTGTAATAGTACAGGATCAAAACGAGCATCTTGAAAGTAACATGAACTGAGATCAACAAATGTTGAAAGTACATGGATTAGAATGAACAAAAGTTTAAAGACTAAAATGAATCGAAACTAACCCAAAATAGCATTTAAACAAAAATAAATAAACGTTAGAATATATCAATTTTACAAAGAAAAAAAAAATCTCACAAGTCATTGGAAAAAATCGCCAGGTGGAGTATAAAATCTTTTGGAGGCATATACGTCGGCTAGGCTGAAGGCAGCCTATTTTTGTAAATTATTATTAAATGGGTAAATTGCAAAAACCATCCCTAAACTATAATAGTTGTTGTAAAGACACCCACAAACTTTTAATTGCTAAAATTAAATCCTCCAACTTAAATAATGGTTCCAATTAAATCTCTCCGTTAGTTAGGTTCCAATTAACTTCTCCTTTAAACAACAAACTCATCTTTTAAAAAATAAAATAAAGCCTTACAAAATCACGCATAATGGAGTGACGGAGGAGACTAAGAGTTTTCAAGATTTGAGGAAGACAAAAGGCAAAATCGATTCCAAACAAGATCACTACTAATTGGATTCTAGTTTCGATCATAATATATATGCTCGGCTTGGGAGTGTTCTGGTAAGTAATAATTTTGGCTGTAGAGTTTTGAACCCGACCGGGTTTTGATCTTTTCATTCTCAATTTTACTGTTAATCACTTGATATTATAGCAAAAATTGAGATGGAAGGTTCCTGAAATTTTTGTGTGTATTCGCTTATGGATGTTCATATATGGAAGTAGATGGAACCACTCTTATGTATAGAAGAAACCTCACAAAATTAGTTTTTGTCGATCAGCGTCATGACATTGTTTATGCACGATTCTTGTCATTCAAGTTGAATTCTGAAACCTGTATTTTGAAAAAAATTATCTCTAATGAATTTTTCTTACGAATGAATGAACGATAATTTTACTATCGATGGATCGAGAAACTTCTCGGTTCTCATGCAAGATTCAGTGCTTTAAAYGTGCTTGAAATTTTTTAGTTGAATTTTAGTCTTGTTTTATTATTTTATTTCAAATACCTTTATAGAGTACTCAACCTATTTGACAATTGCTAAATTTTGAGGTACTAGTAATTAGGTCACTTTTTTTTTTCAATTTTATTCTTAATTTTGTTTCAAAGTGCAAATGCAACATATATCTTATTTAGTGAACTTAATGCAGATAATAGTTGAATCTTGAAAACAAGACGTGCACTATATATTTTCTCATGACTTCAACATCATAGGTTTTTTTTGGAGATCTATGGTTTTGTTTTGACCAAACTTGTCTTCTCTAGTCTTGTAAAAGTTGGAAATGTTTTCTTCGTTTTTGTTTCTTTCTTTCTTGTTCAGGTTAGAGTACTTGGGCAAGTCTTGGATGATGGTAGAGTTCTTGATACATTTTGCCCACATCATTTGATCCAAACTAAAAATTTTCATAGAACATCATTTTTAGGGGGTCGTACTTGTGAAGTTAATGGTTGATGCTTGTAATATCGTAAATCAAATGACGAAGAAAGGTTTGAAGATTTTAAACTTATAAAAGGGCTATTTGTAGTACTTTGCACCCTTTTAATAGCTATATATGTATTATAAACATTGTTGGATATTTGAGATAATATGGGAATTGTAAAATGGCACAGATGTAAATTGAAAGGATGGTGATTGTTAATTTTTACTTGGATCCATGAATTGAGATTTACGGGAGGAGTTTAGAGCTGAGACCACAACAATTTAAAATATCAAGTAAAAGAGCAGTATGTTTAAGATATGTGATTAAAATGGGAAAAATTAATTTACAATCCATGTTGGAGTTGAAATGTAGATTTCGTTTTGAAATCTAATATATATACATGATTTTTTGAGTAATTGCAATAAGTCTTACATCAAGATTGTTTTGATAATATTGTTGCAACAATAAAATCGAGAATGAAAAGATCAAAACCCGGTCGGATTCAAAACTCTACAGCCAAAATTATAAAAATGAGAAAATGTAAGAAGATGATACTCGATTCTGTATTACTTACCAGAACACTCCCAAGCCGAGCATATATATTATGATCGAAATTGGAATCCAATTAGTAGTGATCTTATTTAGAATCGATTTTGCCTTCTATCTTCCTCAAATCTTGAAAACTCTTAGTTTCCTCACTCACTCCACGAAAGATTGTTATGCGTGATTCTGTAAGGCTTTATTTTATTTTTTAAAATATGAGTTTGTTTTTTAAAGGAGAAGTTAACCATGTTAACCTAATTAACAGAGAGATTTAATTAGAACCATTATTTAAGTTGGAGGGTTTAATTTTAGCAATTAAAAAGGTTGTGGGTGTATTTGCAACAACTATTATAGTTTAGGGATGGTTTTTGCAATTTACCCTTATTAAATTTTTTATTGCTACTTTTGCAAGTCACGTTAAAAAGAAAAATAGTTTTCATTCAAATAAATATTCTTTTTTGATCGACCCTTCAAATAAAATTAAATGATATTTAGAAACTTATTTTCAATAACAGTAATTGGATGCATTCACAAAATTTATCTAAGTTTAAACTTATTTTCAGATGAACCCTCCAACTCCCATTAATAATTAAAAAAAACCCAACTAGAATAGGAGGTGTGATATGCATTTTGCAGGAAGGTAGGAGAGATGATCGTCATCCATTTCAGCGCGTGTGATACACCGCGATAGATCCGCGACTCGGCCTTCTCCCGAGCTAAGCGCAATGGAGTGTAATAACCACCGACAACTCCAAACCCCATCACACGGCGGATGTTGGGCCACGTGTCCATCACACAAAAACGCGTCTATGGGTTGTGATCCTCTACGGCGTCACGCACTCCCCATACGCATACGCCGCGCGTCGAATGCTTCATTTTCCATTTTAATTTAACACAAAAGTCAAACGTACAATCGAAAATACTTGGGCGTCGTGGGAATTAAATAAAGAAATAAAAATTAATTACATAAAATTTGGTAATAAATATATAATCAAATTAATTAAGCACATCACAGCACCTCGTTTTCGTATGAGTATATAACAAACAAACTTCATCTTCTTCTCTCTCGCCATTACAATTTACAAATCTCACTCTGCACTGCACAAGAGGGACGCCCGTTGGAGCTTCTCCTCTCTCTCTCTCTCTCTCTCTCTCTCGATTTTCAGCTATGGAGGTTTTCTACTTCCTGGTGTTTGGAGCATTGTCTCTAGTGGTTGTAGCTCTGGAGCTTAGCAAGACGAACAAGGACCGGATCAACACGCCTTCCGCCTTCAATTCATTCAAGAACAATTACCTTCTCGTTTACTCTCTCATGATGGGTGCGTCCTCTGATTCTTTTGTTTCTTTCCAGATCTGCTCCCATTATCTACTTGGATCTTCTTCAATTCTGTTTAATTCGTCTCGCTATACTGTGTGCTTCGTTTCGTCTTTCTGCCTTGTGTGTGTTTCCACCTGATGCCGTTGGATGTGATCTGATTTTGTTCGATTCTTCGCTGTTTGCTAGTTACTATTTTGTTTCGATCTGTGTATTTGGTGTGATTGTTGAGGTTTTAGTTGAGAGCAGGACGCATTTTGTTGGCGATCTTCTCGCTTTGGACCTAGGAGAATACACGGCGTTAATTTTACTAGTTGGAGAGGCAATTGGTTGGTCATAGGCAGCTAGAAAGCGTCTACGAGATGCCGATTTTTTTTCTCTCTCGCCCCTCTCTTTGATTGAGCATTGGATCTGGATCTCACCGACGGTTCACGATATGAAATGTTTGCTATGTTCTCGTTTCTTCGAAGTGCAACATGGCTCTGTTCTTTTAATTTAGCTCTTGATAGGATTTATATAGCTATAATCTCGATTCTTTTTGAACAGTTGATGCTGTTTTCCCTATGAGCTACGAAGTGTGGTTGCCATTGATGTCTTCTACATTTCGATCGTTTTTTTCACTAGAAAACTTATATTTATTTATTGTTAGGAATTTCAATATCATGCTGATAGAAAATAAAAATTATATGTGCAATGATTCGTCTAATGTATTATTATTCGTGCCGCAACAGCTGGGGACTGGTTGCAGGGCCCATATGTATACTACCTTTACAGTCAGTATGGCTTTGGGAAAGGAGAGATTGGTCAGCTTTTCATTGCTGGTTTTGGGTCCTCCATGTTGTTTGGTACAATTGTTGGTTCTCTTGCTGACAAACAGTGAGTCAATTTTTATCTCCAAAATTGGTTAACGTCATCAGATTTTACTGTGGGAAAACTCTTTTTAATTATTGACACATTAATATTTTTGAATTCAGAGGTCGAAAGAGAGCATGCATTACTTATTGTATCACCTACATTCTGAGCTGCATCACCAAACATTCTCCTGAATACAAGGTTTTAATGTTGGGCCGTGTATTGGGAGGTATTGCCACTTCGCTCCTCTTTTCAGCATTCGAGTCGTGGCTTGTTGCGGAACACAATAAGGCAAGAATTCCATGGCACTGTCCTTAAATATTTATTAGCTTTCTTATATGCTGTTTTCTGACTGATCCGATGGTCACTACTAGGTGATGATTGGACTCACACTCACCTAGTACGTACACAACCATAAGTTCCAATGTTTGTCATTGTCTCTTTCAAATTGGGTCAGTGGGATGTAACTAATGGTGAAAATGTCCATAGACAAAACCATGGTTTCCTGTTCCATAGTTACTATACCTTTGGAGTTCTGTGTTGGTTGGTTTGACACGGGAACATGATATCATAGCCAGATAACTTCTGCCATCTTGAACCCATGTCACCCTAATGCAGCAACTGGTTCTATGTTCAAAAATTTTATAGGATGGAATATCATCTTCCCTTATTCTGAGTGTAATAATATTTTTGGACAACTTTTGCTTCCGTTTTTGTTTCCCTAGTTCATTAGTGTGATGCTTGTTATTGTGGCTCGCTGATGAATATTCTCACCATTTGTACCGGTTCCCTGATCATTTTAAATGTATTAACATGTTTCTTGCCCACTTATGTATCTTTTCTGCAGAGGGGCTTTGAACAGCAATGGTTGTCAATAACATTCTCAAAGGCTATATTTCTTGGCAATGGTCTTGTTGCAATTCTTGCTGGGTTGTTTGGGAATGTTCTCGTTGATACTCTGTCTCTTGGACCAGTGGCACCTTTTGATGCTGCTGCATGCTTTCTTGCAATTGGAATGGCCGTTATTATGTCTTCTTGGACCGAGAACTATGGAGATCCATCAGATAATAAGGACCTGCTCACCCAATTCAGGGGTGCTGCCGTGGCCATTGCTTCTGGTATAGTCTAAGATTTTCATGCATCTTATATTTTTAGTTGATTGCATTTCCTGAAAGCCCCCAACGTCATAGCTTGGATTTTAGTTTTGCATCAAACATGCTCTTGGACTGGATATATTATTTTGTGACATTCTATAAATATCTGCACATTCTGGCAACTGCCAAGATCTTAATTCCTTAGTTTTCTCTGCAATTAAACCACACCCGCTCATAAATACTTCTATAAAACAATCTTACAAATAAGAAATTCACACGTGTAAAGAGTATTACTCCATACAATAAGTCAATGACTGATCCCCCCTTTCCCCCCTCTTTTTTCTTTTTTCCTGAAAAAGAGAAGAATCTGAACTATGACTAATTTCCTTGAAGATATCCTCACTCATTTTAAATTTTCTGTGGGTAGATGAGAAGATTGCACTGCTGGGTGCTATCCAGTCTCTATTTGAAGGTTCGATGTATACCTTTGTGTTCCTCTGGACACCTGCTCTTAGCCCAAATAATGAGGACATTCCCCATGGCTTTATCTTTGCAACATTCATGTTGGCTTCAATGCTTGGAAGTTCCCTTGCATCTAGGTTGATGGCTCGAAATACACCAAAAGTTGAGAGCTATATGCAGATTGTTTTCGTTGTCTCTTCTGCCTCTCTTGTACTCCCAATTGTGACCAGTGTATGTTGAAGGATCTTTTGCTCCCCTTAGTTCTGGTTTTCTTTAATGCTTTTTTCTGTGTTCTCTGACTTTTCTGGTTGTGACAGTTCTTGGTAGCTCCATCAGCTGTGAAAGGTGGAAGCATCTCCTTTTCAGGCTGTATTCAGCTGCTTGGCTTCTGTGCTTTTGAAGCCTGTGTTGGTATATTTTGGCCTTCCATAATGAAGATGAGATCCCAGTATATTCCTGAGGAGGCTAGAAGCACCATCATGAACTTTTTCCGCATTCCTCTCAACATCTTCGTATGCGTGGTGCTGTACAATGTATGTCCCTGGACTACCCTTCATTATTATTATTATTTTTTTATGGGAAGAACATCATGCCATTAGTCACTAGACAAGTGCGGTCATGAGCTTTCTTTTCTTGATCTTAGCCGCTTGTCAGTAACTAACGGTTTGCATTCAGGCAGTTCTCTTACTCTGTTCAACCAAACAAATGTGACAAATCTAACCCAACTGCTTAACCCTTGTTCATCGAAATAATAATTAATACCCTCTTCTTTTTTATTATGCTTACATTTCTTCTCCCATCTTTGAAGGTGGATGCTTTTCCCATCACTGTGATGTTTGGTATGTGCTCTATTTTCCTCTTCGTGGCATCGATTTTACAGAGGCGGCTCCAGGCAATCGCAGAAAAACCCAGTACGTATATCATCCAAATGCTAAAATTTTGGCATGGCTAACGACTTCCAGTATTTATTTTCCTTTGGTGTTGAAGCCTATAATTATAAATATTTCCCAATTATGCTTCGTCACATCATAATGGTGTTTGAGAGTACTTAGAGGAAGGGAGGGTGTGTTTGTGAGTGATTTTTGGCATCCAAAATCATTCTTGCCATTGTCAAAATCACTTCTCTTTTCATTTCATTATGTTCGTCAAATTAGAAAATTGATTTTAGAAAAATTTAAAATCACTTTAAATTGATTTTTAAGGTATCACATGGATGATGATTATGGAAAATCAATTCTACTTAAATCTCTTTTTTCAAAATTACTAATTCTACCATCACTTCCAGACACACCTTTAATCTCTTTTGCTAAAATCATTTATTCTAAAATCATTCCCAGCACACCTTTAATCTCTTTTGCTAAAATCACTTATTCTAAAATCATTCCCAAATAAACCATAAGTAATTTAGGATAAGTAATTTAGGAAAAGTACTTTAGCAAAACGTGTTCAATAACACATCAGCTTAATGTTTGGTTCCATTTAAGTGTTTCCTTAACTAGCAAGAGTACTTTGAGAATGCATTCTCAAATATGTCCTAAATCTCATTGCTGTAGACCGACTAACACTTGATCATGTTGGACTGTGTTACAGAGATCGGAGACTGGGCATTGAGCGAAAAGAATACCGAGGCAGATCCGTTAAACATCTAAGCGATGTAGGGAAGACGGACCACCGGTACTTATTGGGATTTTAGAACGTGAACACTTGATTCATCTGTATACAGCAGCAGCTTCTTCAGTAGCTGGTATAATATTTGAAGAATTAAACTGTACAAGAATAGTGGTCTGCTCATCAAAGGAAAGAAGATGATGAAAGGAAGTAAAGGCTTAGTCGACAAATTCTGTTTTCATCAATTTTTGGGCTTATTCACAAGTCATTAAAGTAGTTTGTTAGAGGTCTCTTCAGCATTCAGCAATTTGTTGTGGAGAATTTTCCGAGCTCCAACATTGGATTTATCTGAACTTGTTAATCAAATATTATCCATATTTTCGTCATGCATTCATTCTTTACCAAATTAGTGTCCTCTCAGACCTCATTCTTCATAGTGGTTGCCTGTGGACTGTCGGCAGTGGTCCTTTCTGGTTTGTAAAAGAGTTTTATTCATTTTAATCATATTTCATTTCTTCAAATGAGATATATAAAACGTTTAGTTAAAAAAAATATGTAAATCAGATAACCTAAATATATAATTTAGTCTCTAATGTTCGATATGTGTTCGATTAATTTGGTCCTTTGTTCTTTCCAATCAAGTCCTTATTGTTACAAAATATAAAATAGGGACAGTACTAACATATTCAATGCATTGTAATTTACTATTCAACTAAAAATTAAATTACTTTCCATACGAGCATAATTCAACTCATCTAAGGAAGGGAATATATGCCTTAAGCTCAATTTGGCAACTATATAAATATATATAGGTTCAATGAATAAGTAATATATTGCCTTCTCTAAAGTTGAAATTTCAATATCTAATTTATCTACGTCCAACTCTAAAATAATTTGCCTATATTAAGTAGAAGGAAAAAAAAATTGATGGTTAGAAATGAATCAATAAGGATGGAAAAAGAAATAACAAAAACTTGTGCATATTATTTTTATTTTTAATTTTTTGAGTACACACAAAGTGAAATGGAGAGATTCAAATTCATGATTTCTCAGTCGATGTCAAATACCGTTAAACTAAGTTGATGTGGAATTGCTGGTTGATCACTCGTCTCCAATCCTTCCAAGTTCCACCCACCAATCCTTGTCAACATCACCACTCACTTATTTGAGTCCCACACTCCATTATATATTTCACTCAGTCAACTCAACAATTGAAGATTGGAGATCGAAGAATATTATAGCATCTTTGAGGGGCAGGTATGAAAAGAAAACCCAGTCTGCAACTTGGCCTTCTTTAATTTGGTTCCATGGATTGATTCTAATTTAAAGCATAATTTATCTTGTAATACAAATCCTATCCTAATTCCTAATTCCTAATTCCTTAGTTAGTGTTAGGTTACAGGTTCCATGGCGGAGTATTCGAGGCCTTCGTATAGCTGCAGAAATTGCCGCAATCCCCTTGCCTCCGGAATTCATCTCCTTTCCAAATCCTACCTGGTAAAACTCTACTAAACTACACCATACTATACATGGATTCTGGATTCATTTCTTTTCCAACTTTAATTTATTGTTGCTTTGTATTCATTGTATCAGCAAAACAACCGCTTTCCCGATCTAAGTTCTAACCTATCCATAAAAGCGAGTATAGTTTAACGGTAATTGACATATATCTCACACTAAGAGGTCGTGAGTTTGATCCCCACCTAACCCATCCATTTTTACTTCGCTAATATTCAATCTTCAATCTATTGTCGTTGAAGCAACGATTTGCTATTTAAACTTTAATTTCTTGATCATCATTTTGTCTGTATAGTTTAAACTTTGGAACAATTTAGTCCCTCCACCTCAAATTCTTGTTAACATTTAAGTGTTAAAGTATTGTAGATCAAAAAAGGGTAAACTACCTTTTTGGTCTATGAGGTTTGGGCAATAGATCAATTTCGTACTTGGCACGAGGACGAAATTGACCTGTTGCTCAAACCTCGAGACCCATAAAGGTATTTTATCCATTAAAAAGTATACGAAGATTAAACCGTTACATATTAAAGTCGAAGAACTAAGTACTTAATTTCTTCGAAAGTGCATAGACGAAACGTATTTTTGAACAAAATTTATGAGCATGCATGAAGTGAAGATTAAACTTGGTTGGGGATGGGAGTGCAGGCAAAATCAGGGCAAGCATACCTATTCTCTGAAGCAAAGAACATAGTGGAGGGGGAGAAGGAGAAGAGGCAGCTGATAACAGGGCTTTTCAAAATTGCTGATATCCACTGCAGTAACTGTGGCCAACTTTTGGGTTGGAAATATCTCAAAGCTTATGACTTCAAACAGAAATACAAGGAAGGGAAGTTCATCATTGAAAGAGCTAAGATTGCAAAGGAGTACTAATTTTACTTTCATCTCTATATCAATGCCTCAGGGAAACTTTATCTTATGTTTTTGGGGGAAATAAGTCTATAGAACTCTGTGTGACATGTATATATTATCCGAAGTACAACTTAAGAGAATATCTGATTCTATATATATATTCCTTGATACGATTTAAATGTATATTAACCTATGTTTATTGCCAAAGCGAACATAGCTCAGCGGCAATTAACATTCTCAAACCAAGAGGTTGTACGTTTCAAATTTTTGTCTACTTTTAAAAAGTGACATTGTTTGATTTTTTTTAACACGAATTCTAAACATAACGAAAGCTCTTTAATACAAAATTATAACTCCACTTCAAGAAATTTATTGATGTGGTGTCATGCTGAAATTGTGATAGAAAAGAATGAGATAAAACATAAAATGAAGGGACCAAGATAGTCGCTTTTTAAAAGTACAAATACCTCATTGGAGACTTTGAAAGTATAGGGATAAAATGTGTTAGAGCAAAATAAATAGAAATTAAGGAAACACAAAATTAATCAATCTAAACCAAACAGTAACAGTAGTATTGTTTCTTTCAGACAATTATGTTCTCCATATGGTGCTCAAGGTATCACGAACAATTGTCTTTTAGGATAAGACAAAGTACTAACCTATGAAAGCAGCATTTCGATCACAGAACTCAACGAACATTGGTATTTAAGCAATCATACAAAAAAATGTGAGAGGAACTTTTGAGGAAAATTTTTGTTCTGTATACTAAAACAACAAATGAACCATATAATTATAGACTATTAATTTATGGTCATTCAAATAGTCATATCTTTTCATCTAAGAATTATGTCTTTCGATAAAAGACATATCGTTTCATATAAGATTGTGTACTTTACAAAATATACGTAGTTACGTACACCCTCTCACGAAAAGTTGTATTCATTAAAAAAAAGTTATTCAACAAATTCCAACAAAATGGACAATTGTTGAAAGTATAGAGATCAAAATAGAGATTTTGAAATATAAAAACCAAAATGAATCAAAAGTAAAAGTAAATTAACCAAAATAGTATTTAAACCCAAATTTTATAATAAACTTACCTCAAGAATAATACTTGAAAAATAGAGACGACTCATGTCACTTCACAATTTCCAAGTTGCAGGGTGTTTTGTTGGTACCATGTGTCTTTTTTTTTCCTTAAATTCTGGAATGTCGTCTCTTTAAGAAACGACATATGCCTAAATTGTATAAAACTACCACTCTAGTAAAGTGGTGGTATATTTGCTATTTTATCTAGAGATCCAGGTTTAAGTTTCCATTATATCACATTTTTTTTTATTCAATAGAATGTTATATTGGAATTATTTTCTCAAATAAATTTAAATAAATATTACTTATTCAAATTTATATTCTCTTCTAGAATAAAATAACTACTAATTAAAAAAAAACACTATAAATTTAAATAAATGTTACTTATTCAAATTTATATTCTCTTCTAGAATAAAATAACTACTAATTAAAAAAAACACTATTAAAAATAAAAAATATATTATTTTAGAAGAAAATATAGAGTTTATTTTTTTGCCTACATGAGCGTAACCCAACGAACTAGCACCTATTTGTACTAAAAAAATTATATTGCAATTATTTCTCTTTTAAACAAAATTAAATAAACGGTAGTTATTAAAATTTTATTTTCTAGAATAAAATAACTACTAATTATAAAAAATAAAATAATTACGACTAAAACATATATTATTGAAACAGGTGCTAATTTCGTTAAAAAAAAAGAGAAACAAGTCTAATTCTTTAAAAAAAGAAATTACTATTGAAAATATATTGTTTAAGAAATAGTTTAGAATCAAAGATAGATTTCATTTTACCATTAAATAAATGAAATTAATTATATTAATGTAGTAATTATAGTATTTAGTAAAAACACCTGATTATATTTTTCTTAATAAATATGTTTTTTAATAGTGATTATTTTATTTTTTTAGAGTTAGTAGTTATTTTATTGGGGCAGTTACAAATATGGCAAAAGAATTTAAAGAGATAACAAATTTAGTATTTACATTTTAAATTTGCAAATATAGCAAAATTTTAGAAAAAACTGAGGTCCAATAATAAAATGTCAAATTTACCCTCGTAGCATTGATATACCATTAATATATCACTGATATATATATATATCTCTCTCTTATATACTTGATATACATTTGATTTACTACTGATATACAACTGATATATCATTGGTATAACTATGATATATCTATTAATATAACTTCTTATATGATTATATTATTTACTATTTATTGATTTACTACTAATATATGTGTAATATATTATTGATATGCCTTTGATATACCATTGATATAATATTAATATAAAATTGATTAATACTGATATAAAATTGATTTACTTCTGATATATCTATGATATCTACCAATATAACTTCTAATATGGTTTGCCATTGATATACGCATGATATAACTATGATTATTGTTACAAATATATTTAGTATATCATAAATTAGAGATACATCTGATGTATATCAGAGATACATTGGATGTACATTAGATCGGAAATATATCAGAGATACATCAGACGTATATCAGATATACATCTATCGGGCGTATATCAGATATACATTCATCTGACGTATATCAAATATACATCGGGTGTATATCAGATATCATAAGGGTAAAACTGGAATAATAAAAATTCAAATATTTTGCCATATTTGCAAAATACAAAAGTAGTTGACATTTTTGTAAATAGGTATAAAAGTTTAGCTACCCAATACAATTTTCTTATTTTATTATAGAAGAGAGGATAAATTTTAATAGGTAACATCTATTTTTTTAGTACAACATGTGGGAGTGGGGGATCAAACTCGCAACCTCTTAAATATGCATACAACCACTATACCAGAGTGGTAGATTTGCACAATTTAAGCATATATCGTCTCTTGAATAGACGACATGCCATAATTAAAAAAAACTTTGAGGTGGCAAGAGACGACATATAATTTTCCAATCATTATTCTTGGAAATAGTTTGGAGGTTGATATATATTTAGAATAAGTTTGAAATAAAGCATTTTAAAAAAAATCCTTGAATATTCAAGGTGTTAAATGTTTATATTTGAATATGGAGGTGAATTTAATGTCGTGGTATTGACCGTAAACGTGTGTTGTTTTAGGGATTTTGTTCTTAGAAATCAATTTTTTTCATTAAGAAATTAGGTATTTTTTTGGTATAACAAATATGAGGATAAAAGATTGAACCTTCGACCATCAAGAAAAGAGCATGTGCTTTAACAACTCGACAAGATATTAACTTTATTGTTCTTACTTGTTTCCTAGGGTTATGTTTGTTGATGTAGAAATTTGACCTATTAGGATTCCGCCAAATTTAAGTTATAATCAGAGTAGTCGAGTATGGAGTGTAGGGTTGTTCAGCGTAGCAAATAGTAGGAACTTGTAGCATACCTTCATAAGAGTATTTACCTTAGGCCATTATGATATCTTTCTTTTTTTTTTTTTTTCAAATATAGGATATATTATCTTGAATTTGGGGGAAATCTTTAAACCATTCATATATCTTCTCCATTTCAATTCCTTAAATAAGGGGAATTCTAATTGTAGAAAATAGATATTTTCTCATCCATAACAATAGCACCCACTCTCAAAGTTGAAAATGGTTAAAGTTCGAGAGTATTTTATCGTTCATGGGTTTATTATTTTTGTAGAATAACCCGCTTTTTGGTCGTTGTTGGTTGTCATCTTTATGAGATGGCTTTCCTAACCCTCATTCTCTTTGTTATACGGTTAGTTTTAACTGTTAGATTTTATCTAACTTTCGGGTTAGTGGTACTTCCTTTGGGTTTCTAACCTATTTGGTTTTTGCCCATGGTTTTATACCCAAGGTTTAATCTTGGGTTTCTAACCTATTTGGCTTTTGCCAATTGTTTTATATCATGAGTAAGTTGATACCCTTGGGTTTCTAACCTATTTGGTTTCTGTCGATTTTTTACCCTAAGTTTGATAAATACCGTAGGTTTCTAACCTATTTTGGCTTTTGCCAAATGGTTTTATACCATAGGTTTCGTTGATTGGTTTGATATGCTTGCTTTCTATTTTAACATTGTTGGGCTAGGCATGCCTTTTAGCACTAATTGGCTTTTAGCTTATCGACCTGCTTCTAGGCTTGTCCCAATTCGAGTTCATTGACTTGATTAACTTACCCAGGATCTGTCATGAAATTTGTTGATTCAATCGTTCTGGGTCCCGCCTTAGAACTTATCGATTTGTTTTTCCCTCGGCGACCTCAAGTAGGGGCAGCCTCGGTCGTATGACACTCGTCTTCAGAGAGTTGTGGTCAGCCTCCATAATCCATGTCGATTTGTTTCTCCCAAGATCTCATCGGATCTTGAGCAATTCTTGGTCAATTCGTTATCAATCATCTTGACTTTTAGATCTTAGTCGTCCCCACAGACGGTGCAACTGTTGACATATAAATTTGGCCTATTGGGATTCCGTCAAATTCGCATCAATCTTCTAAAATAAAAAGGACCGACGAGACCTGGAAAACAAAATAGCAATAAAGAGCCACACAGGCTCCGATGCTTAAGTTAGAATTGGAGTAGTCGAGTAGGTAGTTCGACATAACAAATAGTAGGGGCTTATAGCGTACCTTCATTATGAGTATTTACCTTCTATTTTATAGAGGTAAAACCCTAATGTCATATTAGCATATCCTCTCCTTTCGAATATAGGATATATTATATTGAATTTAGAGGAAATCCTAAGACCAATATCTTCTCATTTTGAATTCCTTAAGGGAATTCGAATCGTAGAAAATAGAGATTTTCTTATCCATAACAATCTTCTTTCCTTCCTCTTTGAATGTGATCTATAGGTTGTATTGTAGATCGCATCTTCAATACAAATTTCTACTTCAATAAAAGAAAAATCATAAGTAATCATCTCTTGGTAATGGTATTGCCTATTTATGTTATTGATCATTATCCAACTTTTTCGTTTTGTGGGGAGATCGATCACTTAGGCAGCTTTGGCTTACCAACGGACCAAAAAATCTGTGAATCTTTTATTTGGTTTCTGATGCGTCTGTCATTTCTAGCCCTCTTAATACTCACTTTGGTTGATTTTTGTATATATATATACGGAGTGAAGATTAAATCTCCCACCTCGAGAAATGATAAATTTTGATTATTAGTCAATAATTTAAGACTAATATTCTTTTAACTTCTAGTTTTCCTCGCTCTCAAGTTGAATAAAGTTGTTAGTCAATATATATATATTATTTTTTTCTTTAATCAAATGTTCGAAGATTTCATTCTTCACTCTCACAGGTTATTATCGAACTAAAAAAATAATTGTGGTAGAGCTCAATTGGGTGGCAGAAGATATTCCTTCTTACTTCAAGGAGTTTCTCCAACTTTACATAAATCCAAAGGTTTAACTTTGTTTCTGTTTAATCTTTTTGTTTTATAAAATAAAAATTAGGATTAATTGCATATACAAATATAATAATCCTGAGATAATAGTAAATCGGTAGGAAAAAATATGTATAAATACCGTCATTCTAGAAGGATAGTAAAGCATATCTCAAATTCAGACATCTATTATTAGTGATGACTATTTGTTATTGATTGATACTAGATAGACAGTTAATTGACATCTATCACTAAAAAAAGTGATAACGTCTATTAGTGATATCATTCACCTAACAAAATCGTCATATTTACAACATTTTATTTTTTATGCTATATTTATAAATATAGCAAAATTATTTATCACTAATTACAATGTTCTAAAACATTATCATATTTAATTAATTAAAATGTATTTTATTTTAATCTATAAATTTCCAAAAGCCTTTTTAATTTTAAATATTTTTTATTCTAATTTTTAGTATAACATGGGAGGTTTAGGGATTTGAACTCAAAATTTTGGTTAGAAACAGATACAAATTACTGTTGAAAATTGACATAAAAGCTACTGAAGGCTTGTTTTGTAACATTTATAGGCTCGTTTGGTAACGTTCATGTTTATTGTTTCTATTTCTTTATTTTTAATGAAGAAAAATGTGTTCTATGATTTCAACTTCAAAGAATTCAACTAGGATAAAACAATGTATTTATTTATATTTTGGAACAAATTTGAAGTGGAAATAAGAAAATAGAAACTTGTTTCGATTGTTTTCAATTTTCTTATATAATTATGAGAATATATTAAAAAAAAGAGAAAACAAAAAATAAAATTATTTGTAAAATACTTATATTTCTTAGGAAAATTAGAAACTAGAAAACTAACGGGTTAGGACCTAATTGATTACCTTTCATGAATGAATAATCAATTACAAAATGAAAAATCGGAAAAATGATAAAATCGTTAGAAAGAAAAAGTGAAAGAACTATGCGTGTCTAAGAGCATGGTTTGGCGCGTGGCTCTTTCAACAAAGTCATCATCGTCAAACCAAAAATCTCCAATTCTCTGTCTCTCCCATTGTAATTACAGGAGTGTAGAGCTCCAGAGCCGCCCCAAATTAAAGCACAACCCAACAATGAAGCGCAATCGGTACTCAACTTTCTTCCATAATTTTCACTCAACTAATTATTTTTTATTCCCTATGCTATGCTTCTCTCTCCATTCCCCAAAATTTTATCTTTTCATTTGATTCAATGAATTTTCCACATTTGGGTTTTTGGGTACGCTATTATTGTTGCTCTTCCTGTTCTTTAATCTTTATCCCTGCTGTGCTACTCCTAATCCTGTCCCTGTCATACCATTCATTTCCTCTATTATTTTCTTTCCTTTTCTTTTCCCCTCTTACTTGAAATTTTCACCCCCATTTTGTGTTCCATTATCTTATAAGTTCCCACGCTAACCCCCTTTTGGTCTACTTATCTTTTTGTTGCAGCCTTCTCCGCCTCCCTCATCATTGAGTTCATTGTAGGTAAAGGATTTTTTCTCTCTCTTTTTTTTTTTTACCTTTCCACCGCTGTACCCCTCCTTCAAGTTTTGATCATCTCTATGATTTCTTGATGCCTTTAATCTCTCTTTTATTGGGTATGTTTCTCTTTCTTTGACTTGGGTCTTGATGATTCTCTAGGAGGAGACACGCCTGGAGCTCAATCTGCTTGATCAATGGCTGAACTATTGGGGCCCCGTTTGTATAGCTGCTGTAATTGTAGAAACCATGTTGCCTTCCACGATGATATAATTTCCAAAGCTTTTCAGGTGATGAAATTGAAACCTTCACCTTTTATTTTTCTCATCTTAGTGCGTTTGATCATCAGGTCAAAAGGGTTTGCTAATTGTCCAAAACCCACTTAGGAATTCAGGTGCTTAGATGTTTTGATTTGGAGGGAGAGTCCTCTTCCAAATTGTGAAAATTTCAACTCGTTTGTTAACATAATTTTGCTGAAGTTTAGATTAAACTTGGGGATTGCAAATGCCTTTCTGAAATTTAGCCTGTGATATGAAGCTCTATCTGCATATTTTTTCATTATCCAGTATTGTTTTGTCCCGAATTTTCTCAATAGGGAAGACATGGGCGTGCTTTTCTGTTCTCTCATGCCATGAACATCACAGTGGGACCGAAAGAAGACCGGCATCTCATGACGGGTCTCCACACTGTTGCCGATGTGCATTGTGTTGACTGCCATGTGGTGCTGGGATGGAAATATGAGAGGGCATATGAGGCATCACAGAAGTACAAAGAAGGGAAGTTCATTCTTGAAAAGTCAAAAATCGTTAGGGACAACTGGTAGCATCCCAGTGGATCGGATTTAATGCATTGATTATTATTATGTTCATGTAAGTTTATTGATTCTTCGTGATGTTATCTTGTATAGAAAGTCCTTATCGTTCCAGTCATTGTTTCCTGTTGCTCATGTATATTTCTGTAAGTTGTGAACTCAAGTACTGGATATCATTGTATCTTGAATCCTCACCCACCATCTGTGTTAATGAAATTGTGGCGCTTGAAGAAAGTGATTCTTGCATTGAACATGGCCTGGCTTCCTTTGATATTTTGTTGTCTGCCTTTTGGTTCTATGGAGATAAAAGATTCTTATTAGTTTCCTGAGTCCAATTGATTAGGAAAGGGCAGGAGTTCCATAAGTGTTCTCCATATGTTATTTAGGTTGCTTTTAGCTATAATGGCTTAAAAAAGTAACTTTGAGCGGGTGAAGAACTTAGTGCTAGCACAATTTGAACCGATCTCACGAACATGTTTCAAAAGAGAGTGTCCAAGGGCAGGAGTTCCATAAGTGTTCTCCATATCTTATTTAGGTTGCTTTGAGCTGTAATGGCTTAAAAAAGTAATTTTGAGCGGGTTAAGAGCTTAGCGCTACCGCAATTTGAACCGATCTCAAGAACATATCTCCATTTGTATCTCTTTTTTATATTTTCAAAGAGTGTCCAAATATGCTGACTAATAAAACCACTAGTCCACCTTGCACAGTTTCTCCTTCTCTCTTCATTCTTTGCTCTCTCTTCTTTCTCTTTTGCTAGAATATTCGCAACAAATTGGTGAACTTCTTTGTTCTAGGCGCTATCTCTCTTTTTTCTCAAAAAGAATGTTATGATGAAACAGAGAGAAAGAATAGAGCGGGATGAAGTTGGGTTCCTTTCAATCACCCCATTTTCAAATCCTATTAAATGTTTCCTGTCAGCAAGGTTTCAAGCAAGGTGAGATAAAAGGTTTCATGGTTTACCATGCCCTCCACCACTAAAATGCGTTTTCTCTTATGTTTTACTGTATTGCTATTTCTTCTCATTTTTCTTACATCTCTAGTTAGTGAGAAGTCAATCAAATTCAAGACAATTGCATACTGTAGTTGTTGAAGGGCTATATCTATCATTACTTTATCCCATGCAAATTGTTTGCCTAAAAATTAATCACATCTCTATTTGCTTCAGCACGGATAAGAAGAATAGAGCTGAATTGAAGTTCCATGTTTAGGACTCAAATGCTCAATTTTCTGGTTTTTGTGCTCGTCCTGGTTACAGAATCATGCTACATATTTTCTGTGCCTGTCTCATAACTACTAGTAGTGATATATTTTCGGTTCTTCTGGATGATCTTTCTTCTTTTCCCATTCTAGCTCTATTTACTGTGTTTTATTCTTAGTAGGGTGCCCAGAATCTGGTTAGTGGCTTATCCAGTCAGGTTGCCTATACTTTGGAAACTCAATCGCTTCAGTAGTTAAGCTGTTTCCTTATTTGGTATTCTATTTTTCTCTTCTGGTGGTTTCAGGCACCAAGTTTTTGTTAATGGAACCCGAAAAGTAGATGTAGCATGTCCTGGTGAACTGAAGTTTTTTGTTAATTTAGATCAAAGAAGGCCTTTTTTTTGTGGCAAAGGTGAGAAGGCCACCTTTGCATACTGTAGTTAGTGACTTCTCTAGTTAGTGAGAAGTAAATCAAATTCAAGACAATTGCATACTGTACTTGTGGAAGGCCTATATCTGTCATTACTTTAAATCCCGTGCAAATCTATTGCCTGTAACTATTCAATATTCTTACGAAAAATTAATCACATCTCTATTTGCTTCAGGACAGACAAGAAGAATAGGGCTGAATTTTAGTTCCATGTTTAGGACTCAAATGCACAATTTTCTGGTTTTTGTGCTTGTCCTGGTTACAGATCATGCTAGATATTTTCTGTGCCTGTTGAATCTCATAACTACTAGTAGTGATACTTTTTCGGTTCTTCTGGATGATCCTTCTTTTCCCCTTCTTCTAGCTCTGTTTACTGTGTTTGGTTCTTCTGGATGATCCTTCTTTTCCCCTTCTTCTAGCTCTGTTTACTGTGTTTTATTCTTAATAGGGTGCCCAGAATCTGGTTACTGGCTTATCCAGTCAGTTTGCCTATACTTTGGAAACTCAATCGCCTCAGTAGTTGAGCTGTTTCCTTATTTGGCTTTCTTTTTTTCTCTTCTGATGGTTTCAGCCACCGAGTTTTTATAAATGGAACCCGACAATTAGATGTAGCTTGTCCCGGTGAGCTGAAGTTTTTTGTTAATTTAGATCAAAGAAGCCTTTTTTTTTTTTGTGGCAAAGGTGAGAAGGCCTGTTCAATATTGAATGAAAGTGCAGGTATGCAGTTAACTCTGCCAGTGACATTCTAGGCCCTGGAAGCAGAAACTGGCAGTAGCACAAAACAAATGTCAGCACTCGGCATCTTCGACGACGTCTTTGAAAGCTAATGGACGTGCTTTAGCATTGAAGAGACATGCCCTGCAGTTTGTCATCAGCAGTAAGCAAAATTCCAGCTCTTCCTGAACATGAAAACTGCATAACTGTGCATCCCATGTCTGAACTCACTCTCTAGCTTATGCACTTGGAGAAATGCATATATTCTTCATATTTATAGCATTACCTTTGTATTGGTGTGAACAAAGCTCTGCATCAGTTCTCATAATCAATGATAATAGTCAAGGTCCCTGAGGTCCGGTTTGAAAAGCGTCCTCAAACTGAAAATCCAGATGAGGAAGAGAACTAGGAAGAAATCCAGATCAAAAATATTATTAGTCACAACTCATAAAACCACCGTTATAAATCCTTTGAGTCGGACTTTCTTTGTGAAAAATTAAATTGATGCTCTGTTGCACTGAAGATGCTTAGAGTACCATCTTTTCTATCAGTCCTGGGTTACTTAGAATTAGAGAGCAGTCACTTATAGACGATATCATCATAGTTCTCTTTCGGTTCAAAATTTAAATCTTTTGTTCATTTTTTGAAGACTGATATTGGGCAGGCTCTGCTCTTTACGTTCTGAAGATTTGTGTGGTGCCTCAAACAGGTATGGCTGTGATATCCTGATGCCACTGTTGTCTCTGTAATTGATGTTTTAGCAGAATATAGATATGGTGACTCTAAAGTTCATTGGTTAGGGTATATTTAATCTTTTATGTGCATTCTCGACACTCTATCACCCACTTGTTGGCTCGAAAATTAGCCTGGAGAAGATTATACTGTAGAGGTTGGAACTCAAGGCATACTAAGTTACCAATCAATTTCTAAGCTCGAAATTGATAGGTTGTGATATTATATCTAATCGTTAAACTCGTTTGAGTATATAAAAGGTGGCATCGATGGAGAGTGTTACCAAACACTTGGAATCCGTCTTGTTCTTGGCAAAGTTCATGATTCATATTTTCCCAATATTGGTCTCAGTGTAAGTCCCATCCCCGAAAGTTACCGTTTTAAACTCGTCTTTAAGGGCAGCAATTATCAAAAGTACTGGTACAGTTGGTCACTCTCAATGGTGATGGATCATATGTAAATGTCAAAATAGAGATGTAGAGTGGTAAATTGACCAACTGTTTTCATCCCCATATGTTTAAAAGCTGAACGAGTTAAGACTTATAACTTTTCAAATATAAAAAATAGTTTCTTCCATGTGATGTTTATTATTGTTGCTTTTTTACAGAACTTCTCTTATTTAGAAGAGGCCTTTTATTGTTCCTTCTACTATTTCTTTTTTTTTTTTATAACATAATCTTGCTATACTGTTCTGTTAGGTGCAGGGGTGAAATTATTTTATTGAAATCCTAGACCGACCATCAAGGGACTAAACTAATTTCTCACAAAAAAAAAGAAAAAAGAAAAAAAACGACGACTAAACCAAAGTGAATGAATTGCATTAGAATTTCTACCCAATCGTTTGAGTTAAGTGAACAACAATCAAACACGAATATAGTTCAATAATAATTTTACGAATTTCGTTGAGGTGGAAGGATTTAATCATTGAATCACTTCTCTCTCATTCATCTCCTAAGTCCTAACAGTTAAAACCAAAAATTTGATTTTAGATGAAATGACATGTGGGAGTGAAATTTTTAGATGAAATCTATGACACGTGAAAGTGAAATTTGTTAAACATGTGACAACTTGTTCAACAAGTAAATTTGTAGCCAATAGATCATACACTTTGTCTAGGGCTAAGTGACTAGATCTTACATTTTGTCCAACGCTAAAATGTAGGGCATGAGATCATACGCTTTGTCCAAAAGTTAAGATGTGTCAAATTTGTGGCCTTTAGATCATATATTTTGTCCAAGATTAAGATGTGACAAATTTGTGGCCGCTAAAATTTACTTGATGGCCAAGCATATATGAACTATAAATAGGTGGACACTCCTTGTTGGAAAACCATCCGGAATCTTCAACTACAAATGAGTTAAAGTATTAAAGTGTGAGACTTTGTGAGATAATAGTAGAGAGAAACTCGTTGTAAGAGATTGTTCTTCCACCATAAGAGAGAGTTTGTATATCTCCTATTTTTATAATGAAATTATTCCATCTTTGCTCATAGTTTTTACTCTAATTTATTTAAGGGTTTTCCACGTAAAATCACGGTGTCCTATTCTATCTAAATGATTCTCTCCAGTTATCTTTTATWCAAGTCCCGCTGCAAGTTTTAGCCTATTTTTCCCCATTTCTATATATATTTCACAACATTTATAACAATCTAAATAAATACTCCACAAATACCTTTAGAATTCAACAAGTATACTATTGATTTATAATGCTCCAACACAAGTTAATAATACTTTAATTTATTTATAAATATGCATGCATGGTACATAATATCGTAGGAGGGAAATTTAAATTGGGATGGTATTGACAATAAATAATAAATATCTTTTTATTTGAATGACTTAAAATTTTATTTAAAAGAAAAACCCACACACTGAAATTAAGCCCTATTGCAAGTTGAATATGACGATCGATGCTTATGAAAATATGATCAGGTCTACAAATTTTTTTTTTTTTTGGGAGACAAATCAGGTCTACAATTTATAGAAATATATCATAATTATTATAAATTTATTCATGCTCCATATGTCCACTATTTGTCTTTTATTCATAAACCCTGCAAATGCATGCAATGCTTAGGTGTAGTGAGGTGGTGTGTGCTTATTGAAAATAGGTGAACCCTAAGTTTCTACATATTCTATTTTGAACAAAGGAAACAAGAACAATGGGAATGTTGGTTCA